ATGTCATAAGAAAAAAAAATGGTAACTGTCATTTACGTAATAAAGGATACAAAATGAATGGGCTACATTTTAGGTATTAGTAGAGAACCAGGTGGATTTGGTGATGGTCACAAGGAAAATGAGGAAAATGTATCTATAGTGTGATGTACATATTTTAATTTTCCAAATTCTGCAAAATGAAACATATCCATTTGCCATATTTAATTCCTATTTATACCTTTAGGGTTACTGCCTGGTGGTAAAGGAGTTTGGTTATAGAATGAGCAAGTAGGACATTTCCTTACTATTTCCTTGGCTTGTTCCCAAGTGATAGAAAAATCCTTTTTTAAACCTTTGCTGTTCACGAGGTGTTTCTTATGAAACTCTGAGGCTTCTAGCACACTTCCTATCAATAAACGATCAATTTCATCATTGTCTTGTGCTAGAGGACCTGGCAGACCCGTATGGGATGTGTATTATATATATATGAGATGAGTCCTCTTTCTGATAGTATCTTGTAACTGCATAAACAATGAAGTTAATTCTGTATCGTTAGGAATAAATTCTGTAGTCTCAATGTGTAAAACGACCCTCTCTGCGTATTGAGAGTCAGTAACTATATTGAGGGGTTCTTTAAAATCCATAAGTACCATGAGAATGGCATACAATTCTGCCTTTTGTACAGAATTGTAAGGGCTTGGAACCATTTTGCTAATTTTTCCTGATTTATATCCTGCCTTACCTAAAACATTCTCTAGGTCCTTGCCTTATCTTGGTATAGTGTTCTATCCTCTCTCCTAATTTATGAACCTTATCCCAAGCATTCAGAGCTGCTGTACTGCATGGAGACAAGATATGTTCATCATAGGCAGCTTGGGTTTCTGGGTCAGCATAAAGACCCTCACCAAGAATTTTATCTTGGGGAGCTTTATAGCCTTTCTTTAAGCCCTGAAATTCAAGAGCTTTTGCTTCCTATCTCCATAAAGCCCTCCATTCTAATTGAGAGGAGTTTTCAAGGACAGCTGATATTAATTGATCCCAATCCTTAGGGGTTACCTTGTTATTCCTTGCCCATGATTCTACTAATTCCTTCACATAAGGTGAGTGCATGCCATAAGAGACTACTGCTTCCTTTATGCCTTTTAAATCTTTCATACGTATTGGTTCCCACTGATATGCAACAACAACTTTTGGGTGTTTTTTCGTTGCTGGTTTTTCATTAATAGATACAGGGAAATCTCCCCTGACCCTAAATGGTGTGGAAAATTTTAAGTCTTTTTCATGCCCTGTTACCTGTAGTTCTTCTTCTGGTGTATCAGACTGAAGGTCTTCTAAAGCCTGAAATCTGTTCACCATTGTTTCTTTGAGTGTCTGAACTTCTTGAATCAAATTAACTTTCTAGAGACTTCATTGCATCAGTCAGTTTCTTACTTTCTCCAACTACAAATGATTCCATGTTTTTAATCTTCTCATCCTTAGATATTATCTGAATGGCATGTAAACTGCCTTCCAGAAACAATGCTCTATCTGCTAGCTTGCCATTATCCTCAGACATGGAAGAGATTCTATCATCTAGTCTTTCTATCTGATGTTCCAATTTTTTAAACTTATTAGTAGCTTCCTCTGACCAGGAATGAGCTGTTTCTGCTAGCGTGTTAATGCATTGCATTGTTTCTGTTCTGGTTATTGAGGTATCTGACATGAAACAAATTCTGTTTTTTACTTGGTCATTTTCATGTTCCACGGTTTGTATTCTACCTGTCAGCTCTCCAACGCCATCTTCAATATTCTGAACCTTTCTTTCTATACTTTCTATGCTTTGAATTCTATCATTTTCAATGTTTCGAATCCTTGTTACTAAGTCTCCTATGGTTTGTACAAGTTCCTTATTGTTTGCTGTAATCTCAAACCATTTCTTTAAGAATATCATGTTAATGATGAAACCCTTTGCTATTACAAAATAAAAGTACATATTGGTCCAGTCATAAGTTTCTTCTGCTAAAATCCCTTCTATATATGAAATAAAATAATTCCTAAAGTCCTGCATTGTAAAATTATCTGCCATAGTTATGGAACAATTGATCTCAGATATTATATCAGCTTAAATTGCAAAGGATGTTACAATTATGTTAGGTGTAGTTCTGCTGTCCTGGAACTTTGATGCTTTTAGTTGTAGATCTCAGCTTGTGGTAGTTACGTCTGGAGGTGTACCACCAAATATCGTCCAGCAGCAGACCATCCTTCTGATCCCGGTCCCTGTAGAATAGCTCTTAACAAACTATGGCAAGCGAAATTTTTTAAAAGGAGACTTGTGGAATTGCTGGGACCGCAGGACTAACCGCGGGAAAACGCACAAGCAGGGCAGGTGCCAAGTGGCTCTGAGCGAATGCAAAGTGCAGTGCAGAAATGGGCAAAAAATGAGAAGCGGTGAGTGCCTTCTCAGGCCCACTTTAGCAGAAAAGATCTCCTTTGCTGTAAGGAAGAGGCAAATGTCCCAAAGCTGTGGTGAGTCCACCTGGTTAGGCAAGGGACCCTGCCTGTTGGGGAAGGTGGGGGAGGGGAGCGGCATCTGCCGCCTGGATGAAACCCAGGTCCCCTAAAAATCCTAATCCCACTTCTGACACCAGATATTGTGATTAAATAAGGATCAGGATAAACAAATGGCCGAATAGATGTTTATTCAGGGAGAAATAACTTACAGCCTAGACAGATGAACACCAGCAATTTCCACCAGATGCTCTCCCGTCTGAGTCCCGCCAGCAAGAGAGCTTCCCCCCACCCCCTTCCTCAGACCTCCTTCCACAGGTCACTTCCGCCCATGGCTCCACCCCCCAATGGGCGTGGTCAGTGCCACAGAAGGACTATCTTTCTACAGCACAGCTTTGCTTCTGGTCCCATTTTCTATGTGCTGATCTGCCAAGTGTGAAGAGTCACCATGACACCCTCCTATTGCCATGTCTTCCATAATGTGACAGACTAACCTTCGGGAGTTATGAGCCAAAGTAGTCCTTTTCCCTTTTAGGTTACGTCTGTCAGATATTTTGTGCTCCCAACAACAAGAAAGGTAACAAATACAGTTCTATGGATTTTAATGTGAAGGCCTTAGAAATTAACTCATTAAATGTAATAGTTTGTTTAAAATATATCAAGTTAAGCAATGCAAGGATGGTATGGTAGCTATTTCATTCACTTTAGTGGCTAAACTTTTTAATGCAGTGAAGATAATTAATTAATGCAAACTCAGGGTTCAAAGTGTGAGCAAATATCCCCCAACAGGAACTCCTTTACAAATCACCAAAAATAATTGGGTAAGTGCAAGGAAATATATTTATGTATAGGAAAATATCTCAAGGATATCCATTTCTTTCCTAATTATAAGACAATGGCAGTTTCAAAATTCTACCATGATATCTTGAGCAATTTAACATATAATATAAAATATACTGGAAGATTCATGAGTAGCTAAGATAGTTTTGAAAAAATAGGAGTGGGCACTTATCCTAGAAAGTAGGCAACATGCCACATACTATTACAGCAAAGATGTAAGACTTCACAAAGCCGAGTACCAAGACTATTGTGATACTATGTAATGAAGGAGAAATAAATCAGAATATAGGAGAGATGGATTGTTAAGCAGATCCATTGCTAAGAAAATTACTAGTTAGTGGAGCTCTTATTGGTGAAATGTGAAAACTGGCTTAATAGATTTGAAGAAATCTAACAGAAATTTATTGAGTATGTACTATGTGTGGAAGACTTTTTTGGACACTGGATGTGTGTCAATGAAAAAGGAAATCCTACCAGTATTGTTAATGTAAAGGGTAAAAGTTTAAAAAATAAATAAATAGAAGAAAATGTAGCATCATGTTTCTTCATCTTGGAGTGGGGAAGGACTTCTTCCAACAAGAACCAGAAAAGCACAAAGTATATGGAAAACAACATGTTAGGCTTCATGACATGATAATTAAATGTGAGCACATTTTTGATCCACCCATCTGGTTTAGAGAACACCTCACTATTCCCTAAGACACTCATGGAATACTACAATCACCATGTTGTTTGTGGGAGCAGGAAGTTGATTCCAACTTTTAATGCCTACTTCTAGAGGAACAGGTGAGCAAAATGTGACAGACACACACTGTGGAACATGATCTGTCAGATAGAGGCACTGACCAAGATGTACACTCACAGGTGTGGAATAGAACCATAGAGTATTTCAGGTACCAAAGGAACAACAGAATTGAAGGAATGCTACCATATTGTGTACAGAAAGGCCAAAGACACCTGTCCACAGTTGATGGCATCTATTTTACACCCGCATCCAATGCCTTCTATCAAAAGTATAGAAGTAGCTCCTGTGGAGGGAGGTGAATGTTAGGATAGAAATTAGGAATTGGAAGAAGAAAAAGAAATGAAATGAAGTAACAGGTTTTTTTTAATAGAGTAATGCTGGTAGTAAATTAAGAATTAAGGAATGGATAAACCCAGCTTTCCAAACCTAAATACAAAAAAGAAAGAGAAAGCCATGCAGTGATGGTTCATGCCTTTAATCCCAGCACTCAAGAGGCAGAGGTAGGTGGATGGATCTCTATGCATTCGAGGCCAGCCAGGGCTACAGAGTGAGTTCCAGGACAGCCAGAGCTGCTACACATGGAGACCATGTCTTGGAAAAAAAGAGAAAGAAAAGAAAGGAGGGAGGGAGGGAGGGAAGGAATGAGGAAAGGAAGGGAAAGAAAGAAGAAAAGGAAGGAAGGAAGGAAGGAAGAAAAAGAAAAGAGAGAAAGCTTCCAATTGTGATCACTAGAGATTGGAATGATCAGTTGGAAAACATATCATCTTCCACTTGGACCATCATGCAGGATAGAGTGTTAGGTTATGGGACAGCTTTAGAAATCCAGCCTTCTTTCTTATATTTGGCTAAAACTGCTCTCCTTAAACCCCCAGCCATTGGTCTGAGTTTTGCGACTTGGCATTGTACTGAAAGAACCATACCCTTCATAGAACAGCACTTCAAACAAATGTGATCGCTATTAATATTATATATATTTGTATTATAATCATAATTATATAATTTAAATACAATTAAATTAATAATGGGCATTACTCTTCCAGTGACACATGCTCAAAGGTTTCATTTTTTTTCATCCTATGACTTACTCAACATCTTTCAAAAATATCAGGAATTTACAGCATGAGGTCAACATCAGGGGTGAAGCATGACTTTAGTTGTCTGGAAAGAGTACACCAAAAGTCACTGGCATCAAGCATCACTCAAACATGGGAAAGAAGAGGTGATTGCTTCTAGAAGGTGGCATGTGCCTGTAATCCTAGCACTTGTGAGGCTAAGGAGAATTTCCAAGAGTTCAAGCTCCAAATGGGCTACAGAGTAATGTATAAGGCTCTGTCAAATCTTGACTATCTAAAATGAGTGAACATATTTTTATAGCCCTATCCATTCATATATGTGTGTGTGTATTCATAGACTATATATTCATTTATTTATATTCATAGAATATATCTTCTAGCCAAGGATTATTGCAGGCTCTAGAGATTGAAGCATGCTAGTTGGTACCATAGAATGAAAGGCCAGGAACTGAATCTCAGGGGGCAGGCTTGCTTCTTGTGTCTTTTACTAAAGATGCCCGTAGGATTTCTTGCCTCAGCTCTCTGAACATGGCTGCAGTTTTGCTGCCTCTACTTGATAGTAGTGAAGGGATTCCTGGGACCCAATTCACAGTTACATACATTTGGGGACTCTAGTGACAAAATCAGTCGTGTTATCTGGAAGTCTGGAGTTCCTCTCTTCAAAATAGACCACTACAGCTTGAAAATAAAAGGCACAGAACGTGTCCACTCTGCATTAACTGGGTTGCTTATTTACTATTTCTGAGAAGGGATCTTGCTGTATGTCAGGTCCCAAAGAAACACTGGCTCACTCATTGAAAGAGAAGCTGGAGAGGTTTAGGGTAAGAAGTGCTGGGCAGCATCAAAACTACTGAGTGAGACTTTTCCCAACTTCTCTTTCTTATGTAAAATCAACTATGTGGCTAAGGGCTCTCTTGGCTCCTGATTCTTCATTTGGACTCTTAGTTTCTTGGTTCTTGTGTGCTCTCTCTGTTTCTCTCTCTTCTTTTCCCCTTTTGCTCCTCACTCCTCCATGGCACATTCAGTCTGCTGGCCCGGTTCAGCCTGGACCCTTCCAGATGACTCTGGCTGTTCCCTCCTTCATAGCTACAATAAAACCTCCTCCTTAACCATTAACTTGGAGCAACCATGTCCTCATTTTCCCAGGCTGATCTCAAATTCTCAATACCCCTAAATGACTAGGGTTTCAGATATATACTGTCATACTTGGCTTCTAACCAGGCCTTAATTCATTTCCTCCCTCCCTCCTTACATTCCTCTTTCTTTTCTATGTGTTGGTAATTGACCTGAGGTCTGTACATGCCAAGCAAGTTCTTTACCATTGAGATACATGTCCAGCTTTAGTTTAACATTTTGAACTAGCAGAAAGACTCAAGAGGCCTTAAAGTCAGTTTCACCCAACTCTTCAGAAAAATGCTTGCAGTCCATGATTCCTGTGTGCAGGGAGGACGTATCTCTATGCATCATGTTTCCATAAGGGGACACACCCATGCTTTGATGGCACTTAGACCACAGGTAGGCATAGAATCACCCATGGGAGAACATCTTTAAAATAGCCAGTCATTCATACACATGCACAGTGGAATTAGAACAATGAACTTAAAGCATTCACACACAAAAAATGGACAGACCCGAAGATCATTATGTTCAGTGAAATTTAGCAGATCATAAGACAAACCACATTTTTCTCATATGTAAAATCTAGATTTAAGTTTATATGTATAAATACTATATATATACACACACACATACACACACACACATATATATGGAGGACATGAAAATTCAGAAATTGAATGATGAGATGGGAGGAAGAGATCTAAAGTGGAAGGAAGGCAATGGAATATAGGCAGAAGGGTCTCTCTTTGGGGACAGGAGGGTCACAGCAAGGTGCAAAGGAAGGGGCAGTACAGTGGAAAACCAAGAAAAAGAACATATTGGCCACATGTGATTCCAGTATGTAGGAGATTGAGGCATGAAGTTTGAACTTGAGAATAACTTGGGCTAGACTGAGATTTTTGTCTCAAAAAAAGAGAGAGAAACAATAACAAACAAAATACAGTATAATGATGTATAGATATAAAAATGTCAGAATAAAACCCATTTCTATGTATGCTAATCAAAAAATTAATAAAAAATAAATAATTTTTATCACATTCATCAGAAGGCAGAGCTGACAAAGTGTTATAGATTTGGGAAAAATCAGGAAAAAAAATGTGGCCAGAGGAATATCTGGCAGGAAGTCAACCTTAGAAAGACGAGATGGGACTAGCTCAAACTGAAGGGAAAGAGGGAACATGGATGGGCCATAGCCCTCATCAGGACCAAGACCTGCACAAATGGAGGACATGCTTGCTTCTTCAGTATCCTTAGACCTAGATTCCTCTGCTCAGATGCCAGATCCACCAGGGACAACCAGGCTCAACAGAGGGTCCAGGTTAGTGTGTATGAACCACTCAGTCACATAGAGAGGGTGATTTGTCCAAAGTCACAGAACACATGTCAGGGACTCTGAAGTCACTGCAGAGTATTGTTTCCTCTTCATGAAGCCACCATTCCCTTTGTCCTGTTAGATAGATGTTGTCAGCCAGGATGCAGTGGCAATGACTGGATTCTCGCTGTCCAATTCCAAGGTAGGAGAGTGACAAGTGAAGGTGGCTTTGGAGCTTCTTGTGCATGTGCCAGGAGGCAGGAAGGGACTTCTCCAAGGCTTCAGTAGAGAAATCCTGCTACCCAGATCAGGAGGGTCTTGGAGGCTCTCTAGAAATTGGCATTTTTGATAACCACTTGCAGAGGTGGTGACAGCTGAGAGCTCTGCCATCTCAGCCCTCCCTTAGCTTGTTTTGTCCTTTGTCCTTATCTTCAAGGCAAGACATTCACATAGTCCTCGTTAGCGTTCTCTGGGGAAAAGCAAAGGACAGCCATGAGAGGCCACACCCAGAAGTCCCACCAGCCAGCCCAACTCAAAAAGGACACCAGACATAAAGCAGTGCTAATGCCACATCAAAGAGACATTTCAAAGGCTGCAGTGGCACTAGGGACTTGCTTGGCCAAATAGGATTTGTTTGTTTTTGTGTTTTAATAAGTGGAGCTCGGTTTCTAGTACTTGATGTCTGCCTTTCCCAGTGGAAATCCCATGCCTTCATCAGAGTGGCTAGGCATGGAGCTTGTTCTGAGGAGGCAAGAGGAAGGGAAGGGAGAATTCAGGCAATGAGAAGACATTTTACCTTTGGTAGCTAAGTACCTGGAGCATACTCTACTAGGTCTGACCATGCTTGGAAAATTGGTGTGACTCAGACCCATGTCCAGTTCTTAGGAAAGACCTCTCCCAAATCTGTTCTCTTCCAGGGATTTGATAGCCTTTTACTACACCTAAGACAACAGTAGTACCACCCTCAGCAACTCATCTTGATTTTCACAAGCATCTGGCTTTTACACCTTTATACTTTCTTCCCCTTAACACTTTTGGGTGTAAGTATGTATGCATGTATGTAGGTATGTATGCAGGCACATGTGTACTAGGGTACCTGTGTGTGACTAGAGGTTAACTTTACATTTTGTTCTTCGGGATCAATCTACTTTATTTTTTGAAACAGGGTCTTCCTCTGGGTTGGAGCTCACCAGGTGTGATGGTCAGGGAGCCCTATGGATCTACCTGTATCTGCCTCTTCAGCATTGAGACTACAAGCATGTGCCACCATGTGTGGATTTTCAAAACCATCATTTCTAGGGATCCAACTCAGGGCCTCATACAAGCAAGGCAAGCACTTTACCAACTGGGCTATTTCTTGAGCCCTTTTATACTTCCTAATTCTGTAAGTGTGGCTATATGTGTGACAGGACCTATAGGAAATGATTAGATTGTACTGTCCACACAATCCCATGGATGACGATGAGTGGAGGGAAGTAATAGTAGCAGGCTGGTTTTATTTTAATCATTAAAATCTCACACGTCATCTTTTTAGAGAAATGAGAAGCTTACCACGGCAGCCTAAAGAGGGACTTTGCTCAAGCAGAATAGCACAGCTGGGGATGCTGGCAGGCTCCCTGAGAACTCATGCCCTCTCATCTTTCTCCCTAGTTAGCAGATCTGCTGTCATCACCATTGCCACCCACAGACAACTGCAATCCCTTTCGCACAGAATGAAACCACACATTTCTTCATGAGAGATCAGGTAGGACCAGAAACGTCTCTGCATGTCTGTGTTTAATTCAAAATTCACCACAATGGGCAGATGATGAAGGTGAGGGTAAGCTTTTAATATGATCTGAGAGTGCTGTGAATAAATAGACTTTACTCACACATACTGACCCCCCCCCCATGAGTCTCGATGACTTCATACCTTTAGGGATATATATGAAATAATTTGTCCCTGATCATTTTATAAATGAATGCTTAGCAAAGATTGAACAATATGTAACGGGATGAGCCTTGGTGGGTGATTTGACATGATATTCTTTTTTCAGTGAAAACCTGTCCATATGTGCATTTATTCCCATGGTAAATTGCACACATGGCCATACAATGAATTTCAAGTCAGCTTTTTTTGCTCAGGATCTTGCCTCTCCTTCTTGGTTGTCCTAACACAGATAACTCTGTCTTGGCCACTTGCAGGGGCTAGAAGATGCTGTTTCTTAGTACAGTAGATATTGCACTTAGCAGGATAAAGTCCTTTAATGTCCTAGACCAAATCATCAGTTTCCATCCACCCTGCAGAGTAGAGCATAGTGGACGTGGGCTTTTGGGCCCTTTGTCAGGGTTCTTACCATAAACATTCAGCTCTAACTTCATTCTTCTCCCTCTTTGGTAGAAGCTGTTTCTCATTATTGGGTTTGAAAGGTGAACCACCAGGCCTTGACCTGGTTTTTCATAATTGGAGACTAGTTCTTCTAGGTTTGGAAATATCTGTTTTGGAGCACCTTCCACAGTCTGCAAAGACATAACAAAGGTCACTGTGTATCTGTGGGTAAAATGTGACACTTCTTGCAACAGTGGTTTTGAGGGCTGCTTATGACAGTTGGCAAGTGACAAGTAAGAGACTAGCAGCTCAGACCTGCGGCTCTCACCAACTGCATTTCATAGAGGTGCCTCATTCTGAAGAGGAACCTCATGCCCAAGCAACTCTGTATAAAGTGCACTTCTACTTAAAAGTTGCTAATCATTGTGGTAAATGAGTCCCATGCTTGGCAATTTGCCTGGGCTAATTCCCTGTCAGACTATGCTGAGTTGGGGACTCCTGAGAGAAAATGCAAAATAACTGATGTATAAGTGGCCTGTGGACTCTCCACAGGGTGCAGATGAAAGAAACAAGCCCCAGTTTATACTGAGAGTAGGATGTCAACATGACTTAGTGAAATCGCAGACTTGTTTGCATGTTAACAACTAGAAAAGAAAGAAAAATCCTCTTTTCTGATAGGAGCCTACAGAAGGGACTAAAAATACAGAGTTGTCTTCCCCTGCTTCTTTATATTCTTGATCATCACTGTGGTGATCCTATGGCCCTAGTGTCGGCCAACAGATATGGTTGGAATGAGGTTTTCTTAAGTGCATGCTTAACCTCCATAGTAGAGATGTGAGCGCTTCAGTGTGCCTTCCTTTAGCGGGGTCACTTCAGCTCCAAGTGTCACCTGCTGCAGGCCTGTGAGTGAAAAGCCTTCTCTTAGCCAAATGCTTCTCTGTGTCTGAGGTATGTGCCATGTGGAGGGCTACCCATTTGGTTCAGAAAAATGAACAAAAGGGACAAAACTGGTTCTGAGGGAATAACCAAATGAACTGCTCTATAGAAAGCATTTTATTCTGAGGCATTTGACAGACACAGACACATTGGAAAAATAGTAAAAGTAAAATTCTCATAAATTCTCCACTTATGTTCTTTATAATAATATTTTATTTGTTTGCCTTTTATCCTCTCTAAAATTACATTAGTTTGTGTATATGTATATACACATATGTATAGATATGAATTTTATTCTACTTTTGAAACAAGGTTTCATGTAGCCCAAGCTGGCCTCAAGTGTACTATGTAGCTGAGGATGACCTGGAGCTTCCAAACCTCCTGCTTCTACCTCCTAAGTGCTAAGATTACAAGCATGAGCCACCACAGCCAGTTTATATGTATATTCTTTTTAACAGATCTGTTTTCAGGGCTGATCGTTTGGTATTCAATTACCAGTTTGGTGTGATTTTTCCCTGTGGAAGACCTTGTCTCCCTCGTTCAGCATCCTTTGGTTGCCCGTATCTCTTTATATATGGTTGATGAGTCCTCATGAGTTTTCCTCCATCTACATTAGCATGTCTATTGGTGTCATCCATGTTCAAGTCATGTTTCGGATGCCATGTTAGTGAAACCTTATAGATACAAGTAACATTATGTAGTCTGAGTAGGTTATACTCATGTCTTTAGGTGTGTGTGTGTGTGTGTGTATGTGTGTGTGTGTATGTGTGTGTGTGTGTGAGAGAGAGAGAGAGAGAGAGAGAGAGAGACAATGTAAACAGAGACCATGAATTGAAAGAGAGCAAGGGGAAAGGTATATAAGAGGGTCCGGAGGGAGGAAAGGGCAGGACCATGATACAATTATAATCTCAAAAATATATTCACAAACATTTGAGGAGTTAAGTTGAAAGTATGCTATTTCTTTAACCAATTCTAAGACATTGCACAGCCAGACTATAATGGTTAAAATGGGAAAATTAACTTTCATGAAGTACTAGTTACTAATCTTGTTTGAATTTTGAAACTAATTCAAATTTTACCGATCGCCTCAAGGATATCCTCCACAGCAAAAGAAAAAAAAAAAATAGACGCTTAAGTATTTTCAGGATCGTTATATGTTCTAATCTCTTTTGGATATTCAGTTATGTGAACATATTCAAGATGTTTCTCAGAACATATTTTAGGATCTTATGTTGGTAATTAAGAATTCCATTACATTTGTTATACTTACTTCTTAAAGTGGATAACTAAATTCAAAAGAAGCAAAGAGAAACTTAAAAAAAAAGAAAGAAAGAAACCAGAAAAAGTAAAGGAGTCCCTTATTTAATGGCCCCTGTTCTATTTTCAGGCAGCCGTGGATATGCTTGGCTTTGGAACATTTGAACTTCTGCCTACCCACCCTTCCTATGCCTGTCCTAGGATATGATTTAGTTTTACAGCAGTTTTCAATGGCGTCCAGGTCCATGTGGTTGGCCTTGGGAGTAGGCTTGGCTGCCTCTACAATGTGGAACAACAGCCAGGGTTACTAAAACGTGGAACTCAAATCCAGCACTAGCCTGTTTCTTTTAGAGCAAGGTAAAGCTCTCTGCTTATCAAACTTGGTGTGGTACTCCTGATTTTAAAGGCCTCCACGTGGTCCCATCAAAGATTCAGGCAATGACCCCAGCTTTTCCCTAATCCCTACACTGTTGTGGCAGTTCTTGTGTAGTCTTACCTGTATCTTGTAATATCCATGTTTCTCTCTGAAGATTCGGTAAGTGTAGACAAACTTCTTAAACCTATGAAAAGATGAATTATAGTGTTCTTATATACAAACTTCATGATGGCCGTCTTTATAGTTTAGACAATGTGTTTTTCAGTCTTACATCCCAAGAAGAAACTGACAATTCCCAGACTGTCTCATCTGAATTCAAAAGAAAGAAGGGTTTTTTAAACACAGAGCCTCTTAGAGATGATGGTGTGTGAACTCTAGCAAAGAGGATGAGGAGAAAGAATTGAAGGTCCTTGCTTACAACTTGACCTTTGTCAGGAAATACAACTATTTCATAGCCAGAATCTCACAGAACATGTTCTTATATCATTTCTTTGTCTAGCTGGATGATTCCATAATTCCTTGACTCATGGACTTTCGAATCCATCAATTTCCCCTCTCTTCACTGTTTTCACCTACATGCTTTCAACTTCTTCCTTGATTGTTCTGGTTAATTCTTTTGTCACCTTGACACAAACTAGGGTCATCTGAAAAGAGGAAGCCACAATTAAGAAAATGGTTTTTGTTTTTTGTTTTATCATACTGCCCTGTATAAAAGTCTGTGGGGCCTTTTCTTGATTAATGATCAATGTAGGAGGGCAAGACCCACTATGAGCTGTGCTATCCCTGGGGCAGGTTCTATTAAGCATAAAAAAGGTAGCTGAAGTTGGTTTAAAAACACAAAGGAGAAACATTATTACTTCTTTTGTGATGACAAGAAAAACTCCATTTATATCATCCATCTTGGTACTGACTATTAGCTTGTCTCTAATGCCAGTCTCTGGAAGATACATTCCCAGGAACCCTTACTCCCAGACCCCTCCACCTCAAAATCTACATCATCAGTGACCATCAGTGCTATGATGTGACTAACTGCCTTTTTGGCTTCTATAACTTGCTGATGTAGATACTCAAGGTCTTCTTGTGATTTCACCTTTAAACATGCTCCCCTCACTCCTCAAGGCAATCTCAAGTTTGATTCAGCGATCATTGTTCTACTAGCGGTTGAATTAATTATAATCCAGATTAACTTTTATTTCCTGACTTAATGCTGATATATATTTTTATAAAAATTCTTTAAATTTTCAAGGGCATATTCTTTTATTACAAAAAGAATGATTTTGCCTCATTGTTTAAGATGGCATTACAAAACAACTCCTTTTAGTGTTTACCACTGTAGGAGAAGGTCATTTCACTGTGATTCCCTGGTGTGTGTGTGTGGGGGGGGGTAGGCTATTTTAGAGTCATGATAAAACATTATCAAGTTGGTGTAAAATATTCTGAATCTTGATAGTCTGAAGCAACTTTCTCCTAGCCACAAACTAACACACACCCACATCGATACACATGCACATACACTCTCTCATCTTTAATAATAACCATTGTTTTTCCATATCCCATGTGAATTCACTGTTTTACACATGAATATACCAGATGTGATTTTTTTTTAAAAGAAGGTAGGTGAATAAGAACATAAAGAGCCAATCGGTAGGAAGCATCCTTCCATGGTTTCTGCTTCTGCTCCTGTTTGGGTCCTGAATTCCCTCAATGATGGACTGAGATCTGGACATGTAAGCCAAATAAACTATTTGCTCCCAAAATTGCTTTTCATCATGATATTTATTACTGCAGTAGAAAACAAGCTAATACATTTATCCTGCTTAGATTACTTACCCATCATTATCATTTCCTTTAATAGTCACTATATATATATATACATATATATATATATATATAATTATTTATGTGAATTTATAAGGAAGTATAGCCTAATTCAATGGTTTGACTTACAGACTTCAACTTTATGATTTCTTTGGTTTATGTATGAAAATAACATGTCAGTAGAAATTACACTTAAGATCTTGAGATTTTAATCGATACGCTATTTATATATTGTACCAGGCTTTTTCTTTTGAATCACCAACCAGCTCCCAAATCATGGTTATGAATGCTCTGTCTTATCTTATGCTTGTTTCATTAGTTCTTATAACTCAACCTGTTACTCTTCATCTATGTTTTGCCTCAGGGATTTTTACATTTCTTTCCTTCTGTATATCTTTCACTGCTTCTCCTGTATGGTTGGCTGGTGGCTGCTTGGCTTCTAACCTTGAGCTTGTCCCTCTCCTTATCCCTTGTTCTCGTCTCCTTCTTCTCTCTTCTCCTTAAGCCTAGATTTCTCCTCCATTTATTTTCTCTGCCAACCAGCCCCACCTATCCCTTTTCTCCTTAGCTATTGGCCATTTGACACTATTAGACCAATCAGATGCCTTAGGCAGGCAAGGTAAAACAAAAACAACACATCCCATCCTTGTCCTAACATCATTAAACAAATGTAGCATGAATAAATGTAACACACCTTTACACAATTAAAGTAATATTCCACAGCATGAATGAATGTAACACATCTTTGCTTAGTTAAAATAATATTCTACAACATTTCCCCCTCTGTCTAAATAAAAAGGAAAGTTTTAACTTTGACATAGTAAAGCTATATACAACAATAATAGTTATCAAGTAAGGATTACATTTACAATATCCAGTTCATTTGTATTTGGCAAATTCAAAGAAAATACTCCATTATTTATCCCATCTTGGTGAGCCCAAAATTTTGTACCTAATTTACCTCCTATCATATCTAAGGAAAAACTGTAACTATAAGTATCTAGTGTTCAATTTCATCAAAGACTCCCCAGAAGAATATAATATTACCTAAGTAAAAAAGGAAGTGCAGTGCAAGCCACTTCCAGAACTATAGAAATGACAGACATTTGGCTGCCTGGACAGTCACCTAAGCTTCATCTGCAACATTGTGCCATTCATCTTTGGCCCTCCAGGCCTAGAATATCTGGCAAACTCTTCTAAGAAGCAGGGATTTGGAAGGACTGTCCTGCCTAGTCTTGGCAAAGTTCAGCCATCACTTTCCTGTGTGTCCTGCAGAATGTCCAGCAGACTTTGCTATGAAGCAAGAATTTTGAAGGACTTTCAGGCCTTATCTTGGTAGAGTTCAACAATCTTTTTTCTTTGTGTCGTGCTTGTCCAGCATGTACAGCATAATGTCAGGAGTCAAAGCAAGAGCAGTTTCCTGCCCAATTGTCTAGCTTTACCACAATAAAAGCAAACTCCATAGGCAACAGATAGTCTCACTACACCAGAAACCAAGGGTAAAGCAGGACAAATATATTCACAATACCACTGCCAACAACAAATCTAAAACAAACAAGCATTAACAATCAATGGTCCTTACTCACCCTCAATATTAATGGTCTTAACTCACCTATAAAAAGACACAGGCTAACAGAATGGTTACGAAGACAGAATCTATCCTTCTGCTGCATACAAGAAACACATCTAAGCTTCAAAGATAGACATTACCTCAGGGTGAAGGGTTGGGAAAAGATCTTCCAATCTAATGGACCCAAGAAGCAAGCAGGTGTGGCTATCCTAATATCTAACAAGTTAGATTTCAAACCAAAATTAATCAAAAGAGATGAAGACAGTCATTTCGTATTCATCACAGGAGAAATCCATCAACACAAAGTCTCAATTCTGAACATCTATGCCCCTAATACAAAGGCACCCACATTTGTAAAAGAAACACTTCTAAAACTGAAACCTCACATAAAACCTCACACACTTATAGTGGGAGACTTCAACACACCACCCTCAATACTAGACAGGACCACCAATCAGAAACTCAACAAAGAAACAAAAGAACTAACAGAAGTTATGTCTCAACTGGGTTTAACAGACATCTATAGATCATTCCATCCAAACACAAAAGAATATACATTCTTCTCTGCTCCACATGGAACCTTCTCTAAAATCAACCACATACTAGGTGGCATAACAAACCTCAACAGATACAAGAGAAATGGAATAGTCCCCTGTATCTTATCAGACCACCATGCTTTAAAATTGGAATTCAACAACAACACAAATCTCAGAAAACCTACGAACTCATGGAAACTAAACAATGTGCAATTGCACCACACCTGGGTCAAAGAAGAAATAAAGAAATTAAGGACTTTCAAAAATTCAACAAGAATGAGGACACAACATACCTGAACTTATGGGACACCTTGAAAGCAGTGTTACAAGGGAAGTTTATTGCACTAAGTTCCCATATGAAGAAAACAGAGAATAGTCACATTAGAGAATTAACAGCACAACTGAAAGCCTTAGAACAAAAAGACGCAAACTCACCCCGGAGGAGTAGATGCCAGGAAATAACCAATTTGAGGGCTGAAATCAACAAAATAGAAACCAGGAAAATAATACAAAAAAATCAATGCAACAAAGAGTTGGTTTTTTTGAGACAACAACATAGACAAACCTTTATCCAAACTAATGAAAAAGCAGAGAGAGAACATGCAAATTAACAAAATCAGAAATGAAAAGGGGAACATTACAATGTCACAGAGGAAATCCAGACAATTTTCAAGTCATACTTTGAAAACATGTATTCCACAAAATTGAAAATTCAAAGGAAATGGACAAATTTCTGGATAACTATCACTTACCAAAATTAAATCAAGAACAGGCAAACAACTTAAATAGATCTGTAACCCGCAATGAAAGAGAAGCAGTCATCCAAAGCCTTCCAACCAAAAAAATCCCAGGTCGAGATGGCTCCAGTGCAGAATTCTACCAGAAATTCAAGGAAGAACGTATACCAATACTCCTCAAATTGTTCTACACAATAGAAACAGAATGTTCATTGCCAAACTCTCTTTCTACGAGGCCACAATAACCTTGGTACCTAAGCCTCACAAAGACACAACTAAGAAAGAAAACTACAGACCAATAGACCTGATGAACATCGATGCAAAAATACTCAATAAAATACTGGCAAACCGAATCCAGGAATACATCAAAGAACTCATCCAAATAGGCTTCATCCCTGGGTTGCAGGGATGGTTTAACATACAAAAATCTATCAACGTGATCCACCATATAAACAAGCTGAAAAAGAAAAACCATATGATTATCTCCCTAGATGCTGAAAAAGCCTTCGACAAAATTCAACAC